TTTTCAAAGATGAAAGCTTTATTGAATTTCTACACAAGTCCCAACAAAGAAAGCTGGTTTTATCCAAGACAAAATGGGGCATCAAAGTCATAGTTATGACTACAGCAAGAGTTCCACAAATGAAACATTTCTTATGAGACTTAAATGAAGCAAAGAAGACACCAAGATACAGATTGATCAGATGATTCTGCATAAATGAAAGCTTGATAGTATAAGTTGCTACATTCCAGAGGTAATCCTGGCAATAAATGATGAAGTGAAGGAAGACCAAGTTCACCAATTTGAAATCAAATAAAAATGAACTTAATATTCATGCATCATATTTAGGCATTTGCAAAAATAGGTGCATTTCCATTCATTTTATCCATGTTAAACGTTGACAGGAATTTCAAAGATTTTAGCAAAGATTCAAATCCATCACTTGATGGATCAGCATTTCCAGAGAAAGTTCATAATGAGAAAAACTCATCTGAAGAAGGAAGAAGAAGTTCATAATGAGAAGAGCTTGTTCAACCTTTTGCTCAAATCCATCACTCGATGGATAAACATTTCCAGAAGAGTTCATAATAAGAAGAACTCATCTGAAGAAGGAAGAAGAAGTTCATAATGAGAAGAACTTGTTCAACTTTTTGCTTGAATTCATCACTTGATGGATCAACATTGCCAGGTAGAGTTCATAATGAGAAGAACTCATCTGAAGAATGAAGAAGAAGTTCATAATGAGAAGAACTTGTTCAATCTTTTTCATGATTCTATCACAGAAAGAGATAGATCAACATTAATTTGTCCAGAGAAAGTTCATAATGAGAAGAACTCATCTTGAGAGGAAGAAGAAGTTCATAATGAGAAGAGCTTGTTCAACCTTTTGCATGACTCTATCACAGAAGGAGATAGATCAATATCAATTTTTCTAGAGAAAGTTCATAATGAGAAGAACTTATCTGAAGAAGGAAGAAGAAGTTCATAATGAGAAGAGCTTGTTCAACCTTTTGTTTGACTTTATCATAGAAGGAGATAGATCACCATCAACATTTCCAGAAATGTTCATAATGAGAAGAACTCATCAGAAGAAGGAGAAGAAATTCATAATGAGAAGAATTTGTTCAACCTTGCCTTAATTTATCACATATAAAGTTGAATCAATGACACCTCCTTCAAGGATCAGCATTTCTAGAAGAAGTTCATAATGAGAAAAACTCATCTGATGAAGAAGAAGTTCATAATTAGAAGAACTTGTTCAAACTTTTTGCTAGATTACATCACAGAAGGAGATGAATTGTCATCCCTAGTGGAAGAGTTCATAATGAGAATAACTCATCTGAAGAAGGAAGAAGAAATTCATAATGAGAAGAACTCATCTAAAGAATAAGAATAAGTTCATAATGAGAAGAACTCATCTTGAGAGGAAGAAGAAGTTCATAATGAGAAGAACTTGTTCGACCTTATCTTAACTCATCACATATGAAGTTGAATCAACACCTCTTTTAAGGATCAGCATTTCCAGAAGAAGTTCATAATGAGAAGAACTCATCTGAAGAAGAAGAAGAAGTGCATAATGGGAAGAACTTATTCAACCTTTTGTTCGACTCGTCATAGAGAGAAATATATCAGCATCAACATTGTTTAACCTTTTGTCAAATCCATCACAAAAGGAGGTGGATCGTCATTCCCAGCAGAAGAATTCATAATACGAAGAACTTATAGCTCAAAAGTTTGGACAATTCAAGCTAAAAATGATGCTTTTTGTCTTTGCTCCATTCCTGTTCTACAGCAACGAGCAAATAGGGGCAGATGTAATCACCATTTTTACCTTCCCTATCCAGCAACCAACGACAGCTTCACCGTACTTATACGAAAACCGGTTTTCGTTCAACCTTTTGCTCAAATCCATCATTTGATGGATCAGCTTTTCCAGAAAAAGTTCATAATGAGAAGAACTCATCTGAAGAAAGAAGAAGAAGTTTAGAATGAGAAGAATTTGTTCAACCTTTTGCTTGAATTCATCACTCGATGGATCAGCTTTTCCAGAAAAAGTTCATAATGAGAAGAACTCATCTGAAGAGGAAGAAGAAGTTCATAATGAGAAGAACTTGTTCAACCTTTTGCATGACTCTATTACGGAAAGAGATAGATCAACATCAACTTTTCCAGAGAAAGTTCATAATGAAAAGAACTTATCTGAAGAGGAAAAAGAAGTTCATCCAAGAAGAACTTGTTCAGCCTTTGCATGATTACATCATATAAGGAGATAAATTATCATCCCAGTGGAAAAGTTCATAATGAGAAGAACTTATAGCTAAGAAGTTTAACTTTTAAGCTAAAATGGTGCTTTATGTCTTTGCTCCATTCTTGTTCCACAGCAACGAGCAAAGAGGGGCAGCTGTAATCACCATTTTTACCTCTCCATTCCAACAGCCCCTCCACGTTGCACATTCCAGCACCTTCCAGCAGCAGCCACGAAGCTACCCTCTTCGAAGACTCAGAAACACCACGCCGGCCGTCCACGTCGCAGCTATGGGGTGAGTCACCACATAGTTTGGTGACTCACAGATAAAAACCCTTTGGACTGGTCCGATGAGAGACTCGTCGAGGCTTATAAAAGCCATGGAGAACCTGCAAAAGAAAAAGGGGAGGAGACAGAGAGGGCACCAAAAAAATAGAAACGAAGAACCCGAGAGAAAAGGGACACCAACAGAGAGGAAAAAGAGGAGACCAACAACCAGCAAACCAAGAAACGGAAAATAAACGAGAGAACGGGAAGAGACTTACCAACATCGTTGAAGCCTCCACTCGCCACCATACGCCTAAAGCACTCGAAAACGGAGGTATAAACTGTAGATTTGCTCGATTAGGAGCTTTTTAAAGAAAACAGAGACTGTATTCGGCCTTAGGAGGTCGATATTTGTAATCTAGGATAATTTGGGAATTTTCGGCCACCGGTGGTGGTGGCCGACGATGGAGCTCGTGGCGGCGTATGGTTGTCGGCGGCTCCCAGAATTCCCTCAGACGAGGGAAATATAGAGAGAGATGAGCGAATTCTCTCATAAGAGAGAGAATAGAAAGAAGAAAAAGAGAGAAATGGCCTTGAAGGCCAGTTTTAGGGTATTTGTACCTCATCGAAACGACAGTTTTGATGAGGGCCTGGGCGTAATTTCACTAATGGCTAAACCACACGCGCAGTTCATCCTAGTTTGTAATCTTTTCAATTTAGTCACCAGAATCATTCTTTGAACATTTTAATTTGGGCTTCTAATTTTATTCTATTATATTTTAGTCATTACCAGCTTATATTTATATTTAAGGAAAATAACCTTTTAGCCCATATTAATTTTAAATTTTATTTTTATCCATTATAATTAAATAGGTTAAATTATATTACATAGTAGTTTATTAATTCGAATTATGCCCTTTAATTTTGATATTTTATTTTATTTAGTCACCAATTTTTTTGTTTCTTTTCATTTTGATCCTGATTGTTTTTATATATTTTGCAATTTAATATTATTACTTTTAAATTTATTTTAAATATATTTATTTATAATATTAATTTGTTATTACTTTATATTATTATTATTTTTATATTCACATAATAATAAAATATATATATATTTATATATTATAGATATATATATATATATATTTTAAATAATAATGTTTATTTATTTTCAATATCAAAGAAAAAGGCAGTCTTAATATAACTGGATGTCCTATTCTGGTATTTTAAAATTAAATTATAAAAAAATTTAATTATTATATATATCGAAGAAAAGAGCTGTCTTAAGGTACCTAGAAGTCCTTTTGATATATTTTAAATAAATAAATATTTATTATAAATATATAAATTAATATTTTTTTATAATTATAATTTCGAAATAAATAAGATTATAAATTAAATATATTTTGAATTTTTAAATTTCTAATAATAGAGACAATTTTAATAAAAAGTACAATTTTGGGCGTTGTAGGGGTGCTAATTCTTCCCTAAACGTAACAGTACCTAGTTTTTTTTTGTTAAATTGATACTTACTAATTTTAATTGATCTAAACAGAAAAAATCATATATTAATTTGAAAAAAAAAATCAAGTTTAAATATCTAATTGGACTAAAAAAATAAGCACCAAATTGAATATTAAAAGCTTAGATAGTAAAATGCATATTAATTCCAAACAAAAACATTAATATTTGTTCAGAAAGTGGAAAGATGATAAATATAATAAAGACGTTGTCGACTGACAGCTGACAACAATTTCTTAATTTCAGCGGCTGTTATTGCCCCCGCATGCTACGTTTAGCGCGTACGAACAAAAGCCTTGGATCAAAGCACAAAGACCTGGGTTACTTCCTCACTGAGTTGCACCGTAAAGGCTTCAGAGACAAAGGCATGGGAGTAATGGCAAAATGTTTCTTTGCATGTTTCCCATAAACCATTATGCTATATAATCTCTCAAAAACCTGAAATTCCTAAGAATCAATGTAGGGATTCGGATAATAATTAGTTCTTCAGTGACAGGAAAGCGTCGGATATAGAACTTTATACTAGGAGATCAACTTGAATTTCTAAAATTTAAGGTGAAAATAGATTTTTAATATAAAATACACAGCAAAAATCTAAAATATCTATAGTTGTACCCGGGTCGTTTTTCTAGAGTAAAAGTGGCAACTTCATAACTGCATTTATTTGGCACTAAATCTGCAATCTTTTAACTCCCCTAAGAATTGTTTCCTTTTCTAATTCTTTTGGTCTTCGTGAAATGTCATCAAGATTTTGTAATCTAATCTGCATGGGTGGTTCAAACAAGGAAATAATTGCCAAACATGGAGAGTAGTGCACCAACACAGAAATAATATGCGCAAACAGAATATATACCTTTCCTTGACGGTTGTCTTGGTAATGGTAATTCTGATGTCACAGCCATAGGGTTTGAAGATGAGATTGTTTTAAGAGTTTTGGTGAGTGGAGGCATAATAAAACATTTAGCCAGAGAAAAGAGAAGAAAAGGTTTAAAATAAGGGAGAAGAAATGCCTTCAGCTTGGTTAATTAGTCTCAAGAAATCATTTGACTGTAAATCAGAGTTGTCTGATGTAAAGGAACCCGTTGGCAACAACAGCAGTGAAACACCAAAAAACCAATGTTTATGTGGTTCAGGGTGTTCAAGATCCTTATCAAATTTGAGAGAGAGATTTCATGGAAGCAAGAGACACACGGACAAGGCACCTATGGCTATTGGCAGCCCGATATCTATTGCGAGCGCTGAGATTCTCAATCCGATAACACATCAAACAGTTTTCACAGGCTCCAAATATGTTCTCGAGATTAAAACTCAGGATTCTGGTAATGATAGTGGCAAGGGGAGTTCAACTTTTGTGGGAACCCTTAGCCCTGGTACACCGGGACCTGGAGAACACTTTATGGAGGCAGCCTACAGTGGCAGAAGGTCGAGGGGTCCTTCCGTTTTGGGAGGTGGCCGTGGCATCTATTCGAAGAGTAGGAGATCCCTTGATTTGGAGTCCCAATTCTATGTTTGTCAGAAATGCAGCGAGGTGGCCGTGGCATCTATTCGAAGAGTAGGAGATCCCTTGATTTGGAGTCCCAATTCTATGTTTGTCAGAAATGCAGCGAAAGTTTTGAAAATTTGGAAGCCATAGAATCACATCATCTCTCCAGGCATGCTGGTAATGTTCATTACTCAAGCGTGCATATGTATATGCCTTTTTCCTCTGTTAATTATAGGACAAAGACTGATAGAAATTTCTTAAGCTTTTCAGATTGAGGCTAAACAGTTCCTTTTATATTATGTAGTTCAAGTTATTGAAAAAACTAAAAGTCATCTCATGTGTGCAGTTACAGCACTTCCCGAAGGAGACTCATCCAAGAAAATTGTGGAATTAATTTGCCAAACAGGTTTTTCCGATTCTGAGAATAAATTTGGTGAAATTGAAAGGATATTGAAGGTTCACAACATGCAAAGAACTCTTTCCCAATTCGAAGATTACAGAGAAACGGTAAAGCTCAAGGCAAATAAACTATCGAAGAAACATCCACGCTGCCTGGCTGATGGGAATGAGCTTTTGAGGTTCTATGGCACAACTGTTGCATGCTCTCTTGGCTTGGAAAACACTCTGAGCCTCTGCATATTGGAGAAATGTGGTGTCTGTCAAATTCTAAGATGTGGGTTTTTCAGCAAGAAGGAACCCAAGGGATACTGGGGTGTTTTTACTTCTTCCACAAGTAAAAGAGCTATGGACTCTATTGAACTTGATGATGGAAACCATACTCTAAGGAAAGCTCTGGTTGTGTGCAGGGTAATTGCCGGCAGGGTTCTTAAACCATCAGAAAAATTACAGGAAAAGGAAGGTCAATCAAACTTTGATTCACTAGCTGGAAAATCTGATTGCCATTCGAATATCGAGGAACTCTATTCACTAAGCCCTAGAGCTCTCCTCCCTTGCTTTGTAGCAATCATTTGCAGAAGTTGATTGTCCATTCACATATTCAAAGAACTCTTTTTTCAATAGCTTCAAAAAACTCTATTCACTATATAAGTGCTCATTTTATCTTAGTAATATATTGGACTGATTAAACATATTATCCATTTGAGGCCTATTTTCTTTCTTCATCCTTCTTTGTGATTATTCATTCTTACAGTAGCTAGTTTCTCATTTTCTGAGGTTTTTATTCTCTCTGAATATCAATTATACTGAATTGTGATGATTCTGCACCAGCTCTAGAATTCTTAGCCAAGCTTGTAGTTTCTTATAGTGAAACTGCCTTGAGGATTGTCGGTGCCAAATAAGTAAGTTTGGGCATCAACCAACCGCCTTGAGGTTGTGTGTACTATCGGAGAGAAAGAAATTACAGACATTTTAATAGATTGCAGACCACTTGTTGAAGGTGTTTTATTCAAGATTAAAGCATTGTACAAGCGAGATTAGGAGGGAAAACTAAAATAGAAGTTGTAAATAGGACAATATATATATATATATATATGATGAAGTCTCATTTATATAAAATTCATGATCGTGTATATATGTCATTTTTATACGTGTTTAATAATTTACATTTTATATGATATGTCTTATCTAAAATGATGAGGTGATATGTGTAAAATTACCCAAAATGATAATGTGACATGATCCATGTCACTCAAAGCGACATCATTGCACATGCTGCATCATTTTGGTGATGTTGTGGTATATGACATGACTAATTAAAGTACATGTAAAAATATCAAATTAATAATATATATTGACGATTACTCAACTAACAGTTTCAATTCAAAAATGGTTAATTTGACAAAATATTAAAACGTTTGAGGATAAAATGTTTTAATATATATATATATATATATATATATATATATATTAAGAATCAATTAAAGATAAACAATTGCTACAAGATTTGTTTCTTTTTATCATTTTTGGAATGTAAAAATTTAGATGGAAACAAGTATATAGGCTGTAAGATGTAGAATCGGTGATGCAAATGGTATAAATAATTAACTCGTGCCAACTGTGACTAAAAGCAGTAAACCATCTAACGGTCCTAACCAGGGAAGAAAGATAGAGGCTGAAATGTTTTTAGGTAGCCATTCACTCAGCTACCCTTTTTCCTTTTTACTTTGCTTTTTTAGTTTCAGGTTTCAGCAATGTTGCAAATTCCACTTATGTTTAATGTTTTCTAGAAATTTTTATAAGTTGAAAAAGGAAAGAGTGATTGGAGGTTAAGATTTCAGTTATGTTTTACAACAAATGTTTCGAGTCAATGTCACTACCGAGTAAGATCCAATATGAACGCATTCACAAAGTTCATTTCTTTATGGGCGAATTATGGTTAACATAGTTTGTTTACTTTTATACCGATTGCAGTTTTGGAGATTTCCCCTCCAAAGCCAAGTTGAGAATTTCCTCGAAGAAGCATATTAATGAAGGATTCAGCTTTAAGTTGGGGATCGAGGAAATCTACGACCAAATTGTTGAATATTTGAAGGAGAAGGAGCCGCTCAAGTGAACAGTTCTGAGAGTTCTAGTGATTGTGATGTTTGTTAGCTCAAGATCTATGTTGTGTTTCGAAATAACTTTTTTTTTGGATAATTAGATTCTATTACCCAATGAGCAGTGAACTGCTACAAATAACAAGCAAAGTTCAGAAATACAAGGATCATCTTAAAAATAAAATGCTAATCAAAACAAAATTAGACTATACCCCATAGATTACAAAGAGTAGTGTTAACATTGTCTAATCTATGTGTAAACCTGCTCCTAAGTTAGAACCCAACAATTTCCTTAATCTCTCCAAACATAGCCTCAACAGTAAATGCATGAGATTGGAAAAGTCTCCTATTTCTTTCTTTCTAGATAATGTAGATCAACGCATTAGAAGCGATTTTCATAATAGAAGTAAGAAGGGATTTACCCTTCCAATTATCCACTGCCCAATCAAAGTGAGCAGTCCAAGTGGAGTGACTAAGCCGAAGACCATTAAGGGAATAGATTTCCGTCCATATTACAGTGGCAACAGGGCACTCATAAAATAGATGGTTTCTGGTTTCCATACTAGCACCACAAAGAATGCATTGGCAGTCTTGAACGATACTCATTCTGTGAAGTCTCTCCTTTGTAGGAAGTCTGTCGAGGAAAGCCATCCACGCAATGAGACCGTGTTTGGGAATAAGAAGAGGAAGCCAAAGCAGTGAATGCCAATGGACTTTAGGATTTTTCACTCGGATGTCATTCCAAAGGTCATTAATGTTCTTGGAGACCGAAGGCAGAAAAGAGGAAGCTTCAGCCCTTAGCATCAGAATTTGCTTAAAACTCCAGCTCATATTGGATTTAACAGGGACAGACCAGAAATCGGTGGTGGTACTAAACATATAGCTCTTTAACCAAGCCACCCAAAGGGATCCTTCACCAGCAAGGATATTCTTAATGAGGCTCATCATGCAAGCTTTGTTCCAGGTTTTTAAGTCCTTGATTCCAAGACCACCCTCTATTTTTGGTCGGCAAATTTGCTTCCAACTCACTCTTGCACCAGCAGCTGGTTTATCTGCGCCATTCCAAAAGAATCTAGAAAATAACTGATCAATATTTTTAATGACAGAAAAAGGGAGGAAAAGCTGCCTGCACCAATAGTTAGTTATGTTAAATAAAATAGCTCTAACAAGCTCCAATCTTCCAGCATAACTCAAGACCTTACCAGACCAGTGATGCAAACGAGATTTGATAGCGTCAATAAGGGCAAAGCAATCTTTATCAATAATTTTTCTTGTAACAAGAGGGATGCCAAGATACCTAATTGGTAGTCTTCCTATTTTAAAACCTGTAATCAATCTCATTTCCTCAAGAGTTGAGTTAGAAATACCCGCAGAAAAAAGTTCACATTTTGAAGCATTTAATTTCAGACCAGAAATTTCATAAAAATAGCCAAGGAGAGTTAACACCAATAATAGAGTCTATAGTTCCTTTGCAGAAAATTAATAGATCATCAGCAAATGAGAGATGGGTGAGACCAATACGCTTGCATTTAGGGTGATAATTAAACAGACCTTTTGTTGTAGCCAAGTTCAAGAGATTAGAGAGAATATTCATAGAGAGAACAAATAAGAAAGGAGATAGAGGATCCCCTTGCCTAACACCCTTTGCTCCTCTAAAATACCCAATCATACTACCATTTAAAGAGATAGAAAGGCTTGTAGTCATGTAGCAAGCTTCAATCCAGGAAATAAAAATAGGAGGAAGATCCATGGCCTTTAAAACAACAGTGATGAATTCCCAATTAAGGGAATCAAAGGCTTTATGAAGGTCAATTTTCAAAGCACAACGAGAAGATAAATGCTTTCTGTTATAACCTCTTACTATTTCCTGAGCCAACAAGGTGTTATCAACAATGGATCTACCCTTAATAAAAGCCGTTTGATTGAGAGTGATGAGATTAGGGATCAATTTAGAGAGCATGTTGACCAAAATTTTGGAAATAGCTTTGTAAACCATAGTACATCAAGAGATTGGTCTAAAGTCAAAGACCTTGCTAGGATTAGGAATCTTGGGAATCAAAGCTATAGTAGTAGCATTGAAAGGTGGAAGAATGAAGGATTTTTCAAAAAATTATTTTATGGCAGCAGTTGTGTCTTCACCAATAATAGCCCAAGAGAGTTTAAAGAATAGAGGGGAATAGCCATCAGGACCAGGGGCTTTATCGTTACCTTGTGAAAAGAAACCCTCTTTAATTTCATTCATGGTAATATCTTTGGTAAGATCAGCAATAAACTCAGCTGGGATAGAAGAATGAAGCAAGTATCTTAGCAAATTAGGATCAATACTCTTAACCGTTGGATCGGAAGAGCCTAGCAAGTTAGAGAAGAAATTAATAATTTCAGTAGACATGGCATCAAAAGATTCCAACCTATTCCCTTGATCATCAATCAACAGCCTAATGGTGTCTCTTTTATTTTTTAAGGCAACTGCAGAATGAAAAAATTTAGAGCCTTTATCCTCTTCTTTGAGCCATTAAACCTTAGCCTTTTGCTTTAAGAACATAACTTTAACATCTTCAAGAAACTTAAGATCATTTTGTAAAGGAATTTCTAAATCAAAACAAGCATCACCTTTAAGAGTTTTGAGCTGTTGCTGTTCAAGTTCCGCTCTTTTGGAGTTAACCCTATAAGAGAGCTCACTAAAGAAAGAATTGTTGAGAGTTTTAAGATGAGTTTTAAGAAGCTTAATCTTAGAGAAAAGAATCTGAATACGGTTCCCTTTGGCAGGGGAAAACCAAGATTTTTCAACCAAAGACATAAAGTTTGGGTGAAGAGTCCAGAAATTAAAAAACTTAAAGGGCTTGGGTCTATTGGCTTGCATCTCTTTATGAATCCAAAGAAGGGCCAAGCAATGATCAGAAATGCCTAGAGTAAGAAACTCAACATGGTATGATTGAAAGGAATTAATCTAGTTTTGATTAGTAAGCACTCTGTCAAGTTTTCTTGCAAGGAAAACATTAAGTTGTTTATTACTCCAAGTAAAGGTAGGGCCAAAAAAGGGATGGTCAAAAAGATCAAGGTCAGTAAGAATTTCCTGAAAATCTCTCATATCAGATGAAGAAGAATGACCCAACAAATCAAAATCAAAAGATTCATTAGAGTTCAGGATAATGTTAAAGTCACCACCTATGATCCAAGGGAAATGTCCTAAGTTTCTATCCAAGTCCCTTAATTGATGCCAAAGAAGCCTTCTTTCTCTACCATCATTACTACCATACACAACAGTAATTATAAATGGCAAACCAGAATGATAACCTTTAATAGATAAGCACTGTTTAGAAGCGTGACAAAAAGTAAAATCAATTCCTTTTCTACATAAGATCCAGATACGACCATTATGAGAATAATCATAGTTGGTAAAAGCATTCCAATTAGAAAATTTACTGTTGAGAATAGCCAAAGATTTGATAGAATTCACTCTTGTTTCAAGAAAACAAAGAACATCAACTTTATTTAAATTAGCTCTTCTAATGACAGCATATTGTTTTTTAGGACAATTCAGTCCTCTGATATTCCAGAAGGCACAAATCATTGAGAGGTAGGATCTAGGGAACCTCCACTACCATCTACCTCAGCATTTTTAGCTTTGACTAAATTATCTTTCTTTTTCATCTTCAATTCGTTAACAATTCTGGCCACTCCTAAGGAAGCTGACCTAATTTTCCTTTGTTGACGATCAGTAACAATAGAGGATTCATCCTCGACACTTAATACCTCAAATCGATTGTTAGAAGCAGATACAAATAATTTGGAATTGTTTTTTACTAGTTTAGGCTGAGATGTAGAAAGGATCTCGGAAGAGTCAGCAATAGATTTAGAGTGTAGCATAATTTTTTCGTCCTTAGTAACTGAACTAACAACATCAGAATTAATAGTATTATCAACCAGTGTCTCAGAATTCAATATAATTGGGTTCAGCACAGAGACATCAGGTGATTTTGGGGAAATACCTATTAAGGTAGGGATAGAAGGATCAGACTCTTGTAAGAATTCGATACCTCCTACGACTGGTTCTGGTATTTTAGACGCAATAGAAACTTCTTTATTTTTCCAGATTTGCTATTTAATAGGAGCTTGGGTTTTCTGGGAGCTACAGTTCTTATCGTTATGTCCAAAGACATTACATTTTTTACAGCTTGAGGGCAGCCAAGGTACCTCTACAACAATAGAGATGGATTTTCCATCCTTAATAACCATATTCACAAATTTAGGAATAACGTCATTAGCCCCAATCTCTATACAGACTTTAGCAAATTCTAGATGGGATCTAGCAGCAGTAACAGAGTCCATAGTGAGAGGAGAGTCTATGGCGCTAGCAATGTAACTCAGTCCATTTCTAGAGAAAAGTTCAAGGGGTACGTTGAATAGATGAACCCAAACTGGGATACGGGATAAATCGAATTGCAATCTATTCAAGTTAGGTTCCCATTTCCTAAGAATTAGGGGTTTATTAAGAATATGACAGGGTCCATTCTCAAGGATCCAATCCCTAATAGATTCAAATTTAAAGGAAAATACGTAGAGATTATTACCGGCAAAACTTACATGAACTTTGCTGCCCCCGAGAGCTTTCTTCCAGAGATTATCAGCGATTCGTTGCATGGTAGCAAAGTTTAGGGCTGCACCAAGGAATTGCCCAACGAGTGAAAGTTTCCACTCATCAATCCCCGCTTCAAGGACTTCAGGAGGTGGGTGAACGGAGATACTCCCTTCGCTAACCCTAGGCGGATGAAATTCTAAGTCAAGTCCCGTAGAGCAGCCAAAAAGCTTTCTCCAATCCATTGAAGAACACCGAAATGAGAAAATAGCCAAGAAATCAGGCAGAAACAAATCTGAAAGAGGAACACCGAAAATGGTAGAATGAGCGCCAGAAACACGATCGGATTCTCAGGAGACAATAGCCTTGCTAACGTGCACCTAGAGAAAAGCCTTATCGTGCGCCATATGATTTCGGAATAACTTTATGTTCTACTGATTAAGCAAAAACTGTCATCTTTTATTATTATTATTAGATGAATGATCTCATTATATTTCCAACACCAACAAAACCACATATCTCAGTACAACAACAACAAACCAGCTAAAAACCAAAGCAGAAAAAAAATCCCACAAACTAAATTAATTGTCTGGCTATGCTAGTTTCACTATTCACATCAATCTGATTACCTCAAATTTTCAGCTTAATCATACCTTTAACTCGTTCAACAAGTATAATTTATTGATAATATTCTTTTTCTTAAAACAAGTATTTAAGTTATTATTTCATAACAATTTTATATGTACATGTTAAAAATTATTGATAATATATTTTTCTTAATAAAATATTCTTTTTATAAAAATATTATTAACGAGTTATCTTAAAATATTTCTATATTTTTATTATAGTTTGAGTTTATATATTTTATATATCATAGCATTAGTAAGTGTAAATAGAAGATAAATTTTCTATCTTTAATTTAAAACATAATGTCTATAATATACATTTTATCTTTTCAAACTTACTTTTTAATAATAATCTCAAACACTTAAATTCTAAATTACACTTTAAAAAAATTTCTATATCAGTCATACAAATTATTTTTCAAAAATAATGCCAAACTCACCGTTTAAGTGGGCCCAAAACAAAAATATTACTTATCTATGACTTAGCTGCGCTCAAAACAAAACATAAACTGTTTGGTTATTAATAGTGGTGAGCTATGGATAGAATCAGATCAATAAAAAAATTGAAAATCAATTCAATCAACTTTTCAAAATAAAAAAAAATTAATAGTTTTACGAATAAAACAATTTAAATAATTAAAGGGATAATTGTTATTTTTTAGAGGTTTTGAATTTTAGCATTAATGATTGTATTATTTTTAAATTTTTTTATCAAATGATTGAAGGTCTTTAAAACAAATACTATCATTTATAATCACCATATATTAATAAAAAAATTATTGAATTTAATGAAAAATTATATTAATTAATTTAATTCAGATTGTTAATTAATTTAACAGAATTAATTTATTTGGGTTTGGAAAATACTATTAAAAAATCAGGGTTGATAATATAATTTTAAATATAGAAAATTACTATATAAAATTTTATCATACTCATTTTGTAAGTGAAAAAATATTTTAATTGTAACCAAAAATATATTTTAATTATTCAAAATTATTAAAATTAATTAATTAAACATAATACAAAAAATCTCTCGTCTCCTAACAGAAACTAGGATAAATTACATATTTAGTATCAACTATCACTTTTGTTTTATTTTGGTCATTTAATTGTTTTTTATTTCAAAATTATATCTAATGTTATGCCTTAGTTTTATTTTAATCACTCATCGTTAAAAAATTAACAAAACTATTGATGTGATTTTTTATAATTCTTTTTAATGATGACATGTTATTGCCTTATGGTGACACATCAACATCATTGTTAATTTTTTAACAGCAAGTGACAAAAATAGAATTAAAATGTAATGTTGGGTATGATTTTGAAACAAAAAATAATTAGGTGACCGTAACAGAACAAAAGTGATAGTTTAGGTATTAAAATTGTAGTTTACCCAATAAATTATTATTTCTTTGATTTTAGGGTAAATTACGGGTTTAGTATCTAAACTATTAGTTTTGATCTATATTAGTAGCTAAACTTTCAATTTTTAAAACAATACATAAAATTTAGTTTTTGTTTCATTTTAGTATACATGTTCAAAATTTAACATTAAGTTTTTGAAAAGAATTGAAAGTTTAAGTATTAAAATGGATCAAAATTGATAGTTTAGGTACTAACACATTAAGTTTTTAACGGAAGGGTACTAAAATAAAATAAAAACTAAACGTCAGACATGATTTTTAAAACATTTGAAAGTTTAGGTACTAAATATGAAGTTTATCCTTAATAAAAATCTTTGTCTGGGTCAACTTGTATGTTTCTTTTCTAGGTGGGATCTGGAAATTACAGATCCAGCCCCCACTATAGCTTCTTTTTACCCACTCTCGAGCTCCATGGGAACAAAAAAAGACACAACTCGATCCTTTCGTTTTGGTCAACAGAAATGATCCCAACTAAAAAGAAAAAGAAAAAGCAGAATGCCCTCGAATAGCGTGCTTCATAGAAATTACAATACAAATAGTCGTGTACACATCGTTTCCAAGCTCGAGTTTTATATATCCTGTTTTCCCAATGACTTTTGCAATATTATTTTACAATACGTTTTTAGTTTGACAATATCATCGGAGGAAGTTCTTCCTTTCTCTTTCATGGTGGAAATACCAAATTCTATATCCAATTTTCAATGCAATGCAACTATGTAAAACAACATATACCACCATAGCAACCGCAACTATAAGAACTTACAATTGTTTAGAAATGCCTCGTTTGCTTCCGATTCCCTCCATACCTTTTGAAGACACTAGTTTTTTACATTTGGTTTTTATTATATTTATTATTTTTATTTTTATTTTTATTACTATTATTATTATTATTTTTATTATTAATATTATTATTATTATTAATATTATTATTTTATTACAGATACAACCCAAGGCCCAACTCTGGCCCGATTACAACCAGGCCCGATCAGAAATGGCCCAAGCTAAACCCTAAAACTAGATTAGGGTTTCCAGGTCCAGCCGCCGCCTCAAGCTTCCAGAAGCCACAACCGCCGCTCATTGCCGACACTTCACTGCCAGGTGACCCAACCAGATGCTTCCGACGGTCTACTCTGCCACGATGCCTCAACATAAGGCTCCAGAAGACCCAACTACCCCTCCACGTCGCTTGCTCTATGGTGAGTCACCACAATAGTCTGGTGACTCACCGATAAACACCTCTGGGACTGGTCCTACGAGAGCCTCATCGAGGCCTATAAAACCGAACCTGCAAAAACAAAGAAAAGGACAGCAAGCAAAGACACAGAACAACGGCAACCAACAGAGAGCAAAAACAGAGAACAAAAAAAAGAAAAAAAAACAGAAAGCAAACCACAAAACAAAAAGAGAAGAGCGAGAGAAACTTACCGGGGAAGACAACACCTCGATCGGAGTCACAACCAGCCTCCAAGCGTCACCAAAAAACCTTCGAAAACCGAAGGTATTTTCCTAGATTTGCTCCGATCGGGAGCTATTTAAGAGAAAAGAACACCGGAACCGTCATTAGGACGGTTCGATCTACGTTGGTATAAAAAATAAAATTTTCCGGCCACCGGATGCGGTGGGGATTACGGCGGCAGACGGCTGCCGGCTGATGACCGGCTTCCCTCTGGTGAGGGAATATAGAGAGAAGCGAGAGAGAATTCTCTTCTCTCTCAGTTAGAGAGAGAAGAGAAAGAAGAGAAATGGAAACGCTGGCCCTTTGGGCCAGCTGGAAGGGGAGTATATATCATTCTCAAACGACGCCGTTTTGGGGAGGGGTATGTCCGTAATTTCACCACTGGACAAACCATTTCCGCGGCCCTTCAGGTTTTGTAAACAATTCATTTTGGTCACTGAAATTGACTTTTATGCCTTTTAATTCATTATTTAAATTATGTGTTTATTATAATTTAGTCACTACAATAAATTTCTATATATCTTAATTTAGTCTCGTAATTTTATTTTATATTATTTTAGTCATTTCCAGCATAATTACATAATTTAGGGTAAATAACCGATTTAATCCCTTATAATTTTATTAATTTATATTTATATCCCAAATTAATTAATTAGGTTAAATTACACTATTAACCATTATCTTTCATAATATTTCAAATTATTATCTTTATTTTTAATACTTTATATTTAGTTTTATATTTTTAATTTCTTTTATTTTGATCATTATTTAATTACAATATTATTTTGTTATTACTTTTATATTTTAATTATGGCTTTAATTATTATTTTATTATTATCTTATTCTTATAGATATATTTATATATATTTGTTTAAATTAAATATTATAAAAATTATAATTTATTTTTATTTAAATCATTTTTATGAAAAATTATTACATTTTTAATATTTATTTTTATTTATTAATATCGAAGAAAAGAGCTGTCTTAAAGCACCTAGAAGTTCTTTTTTGATATTCATAAATAAATAAATATCATGTTTTTATAAATTATATATTAATTATTTTTTAGAAAAGATATTTTTTAGTTATTTATTTATTTTTAAATATCGAAGAAAAGAGCTGTCTTAAAGCACCTAGAAGCCCTTTTTTGATATTTTTAAATAAATAAATATCTTATTTATACATATTAATATATTTTCTTAAGATTATTTGAAATAACATAATTATGAATTAAATATATTTGAATTCTTAAATTTCTAATAATAGAGACAATGTATAATTAAAAAGTACCAATTTTGGGCGTTGTAGGGGTGCTAATCCTTCCCTAAACGTAACCGACCACGAATCCCTTTTTATTATTAAAAAGAAAGAATTTTTGGTTATAAACGCAGATCAGTTCATCTTTTAACTGATGTTTTCTTAAAAACTCTTTTAAAAGATAATTTTTAGGTATTCGACCTACCTGACCCAAAAGGCCGATGGTGACTCCCAAATTATTTTAAAAACCATTTATTCACATCACTTTTCCCACCAAGTAAAAAAAATTCGTGCCCGGACGAAAACCGGTTACGACAGCTTGGCGACTCTGCTGGGGACCGTCAAACTTTAAAATTAATTATAAATTGTCTCTATTAATTAGAAATTAAAAATTCATTTATTTAATTTTTAATTCTTTTCTTTCAAATTTTTTATTACTTATTATTTTTATATTATTTTATTAATATTTTTTTCAGGTATTAATTATTTTATTTATCTGTTAGAGGTTTGAACATTTCTCCTCACACACAACACTTGCATTGCATAACATAAAGCTTTATAATTGAGTTTGTCCCTTTTAAGTGGGAGTAAAAGCGACGTCTTCGTGAGAATTTATTCTCCGTGTCAGACCTAGCAAGTAACTTTTGGGATTCATATGCTCTATGTCTTCGTGAGAATTTATTCTCCGTGTCAGACATAGAGAAGTGTATCCCCTCGAATTGAACTCGATCCACTTTAGTCTGTGATGGACTAGGATAAAGGGTTAGCAGCCCAAGGGGGGCACTAACAAGGACAATTCGGGTACCTTTACTCCTAGAACTGAAACCTTGCATATAATAAACCCTAGAAACTCTCCCGATTTGAAACCATGCTGAAATTTTGTCAGTAGGTATACACAAAGGAGAAATAAGCTCTAGCTTTTAATTCCTTTTCTTTTTCCTGAATAAATGCATGCGAACTAGTAATCATGCTGTTAGGTTAATTTTTCCAAACAAAGCATGGAACTAGAAAGCATGAAGTTAGGAAATATTATATACCATGATAGGTAGAATATTTTCTTTTCATTAATTGGTACTTACCAATTTATTTATTTTCTTTCTCATTTTTATTTTTCATACATTTTGTTTTGTTTTAATTTGTTTATATTGATTTCTTTTGTTTTGTTCCTGCATTACATGATCATGGCATAACCAAAAGGTGTTGACTTAAAAGACTGTTCATCAAATTGGAAAGAAATCGTAAATGGACAAAAAGTTTTATGATCAAACAAAATATGATGCGGCCAAGGAAAGACATCCTGAAGAAACTACGAGGATCGAGGGAAGTTCTGTACATAGAGAACCGGTTATATTAATACCAAAAGTATTACACAAAGATCCTACCAGATTGATACCAAAAGCAGTCTATGGTAAGAGCATCAGTCATGACATTCAGAGTGGAGGAGGTTTTTACGAAACTCAAGCATGTTATTTGAAGGACTTGAATGACCAAAACAAGAAATTGAGCACATAAATGAAAACCATGCATGAAGATTTTCAGAAGATCAGTCAAGCCTTTCAAAATGCTGGCCTAGGAAGCACCCCAGAAGAGTGGATCATAGGGGTCACCAAGTTGAAAAAGAGCTGCAACTTATATGAAGATCTTGTTCAAGAACTTCTTGGACAGAAAGGTTCTCTTACAAGGGAAAATGAGCAACTCCGAGAAGTGACACAGAAGATGAAAGAGAATGTCATAGAAGAAGTTGCAGTCCAGACAAGCAATATGTCCCTTAAGCTGATAGACTAATTTGACTTTGGAGAAGTTAGGAATGAAATATATCCCTATATGTAAAGTTTTGTTTGATGTACCGAAACTTTTGCATTCAATGAAATTTTTTCTAAGATGATCACTCTTGAGTAACACCTTTTCATACATGCATTTGTATTTTGCATTTGTACATTTTTATGTTTGTATTTACATTTACATTTTTAAATTTACATCATGTATCAAAATATATTTAATTAAATAATAATGTTTATTTATTTTCAATATCAAAGAAAAGGGCAGTCTTAATATAACTGGATGTCCTATTCTGGTATTTTAAATAATTTACATTTACATTTTTACATTTGCATATTTACATTTGGCATCTTTGCATTTGTATTTTTATGTTTGCTTTTGTATTGCACAATTTGTATTCTTATATTTACATTTGCATTTGGCATCTTTGCATTTTTTATGTCATAATACATTAAAATATTCATTCATTAAAATAAGGATTTCAAACGAAGTGATCTTGGTTTTTCCTTGAAGCAAGAACGCTCAGCACGACACAAGACAAATGTCTAAAGAAACTGAGGATAGGCTAGCCAAATTTGAGATAGAGCAGAAAGAAATACAAGAGGAATTAAGGAGCAAGTTGGCACAAATTGAAGCTAATATCACAAATTCTCATATCGATCTACTGAACAATATGAAAGAAATGATTGAGAAGCACCAGACAGCTGGAAAGAGTCTTGTTGAAAACCCTACAAATTATTTGAGTGTTACACCTGTTCATATTCCTGAGCACACCTCTGTACGTCAGGAAATCCAATCACCAATTTACTTCGCTGTTAAGAACTCACCATATCAAGCTGGAGCATCATTCCCCACTGATTGTCCTACTACTTCTGAGTTGAAGCCTGATGAATTTTGTATTAGTAATGAGGTCCTTAACCTAAACAAATCAGTTGAGAAGGGAAAATTCACTCAACGACTGGAAAATATAGAAGAGGTGATAAAATCTATAGAGACAGTTGAGTCATTTTATAGGTTTGATGACAAAGAACTAAGTTTGGTCTCTGGCCTGGTTATTCCACCAAAGTTCAAGGTTCCAGATTTTGAGAAGTATAATGGGACCACATGCCCTTCATATCATATCACTATGTATTGTCATCGTATGACTGGCTATGTAGAGAATGAAAAGTTGTTGATCCATTGTTTCCAAGACAGTTTATCTGGGTCTGCATCCAGATGGTATAATCAGCTAAAACGTACTCAAATACGTTCTTGGAGGGATTTAGCTCAAGCTTTTTTGGGTCAATACAAGCACATGACTGATATGGCCCCTGATCGAATAATGTTGCAAAGCATGAATATGAAGTGCAATGAAAGCTTTCGACAATATTCACAACGATGGAAAGACGTTGCTTCTCAAGTACATCCACCATTAACTGAAAAAGAGTTCACTACTTTGTTCATCAGCACATTAAAATTTCCTTATGTTAATCACATGATAGGGGTTGTCCCTAATAATTTCTCTGACATCATCATAATTGGAGAAATCATCGAAATGGCTATCAAGAATGGAAAAATAAGAGGCTCTGACAATACTAAAGTCAAGAAAGAAGCTGGGGTTAATACAGTGAGGTCTTATTCAGTTAAACATGGTGCCAAACCTTATAGAGTAATCAAGAAGAAAAAGAATGTGCAGGGATTTCAATTTCCTCCCTTCCACTGTTCGAGTGAAAAATTGCATCCAAAAATGCTCTCAGCCAGATCAATTACTCCACAACTTGATCAATCACAGTGGCCTCCAAATGAGAATTGGACCTATAAGGAAGTTCCTTGGATAAATCAGACTGGAATTCCAAATTTTTCAGCTAAGGTTCCTGGTAACCTTAAGAGAAATTTCCAAGACCCTTTAGAGCAAGCAATTCAAAAATGCAAGATAAAAGAAAGGGTTAAGGTTCAATGTTCAGAAACCATTGAAGAATATCGGGCACAAGAAAATGGGAAAAGAAATCAAAAGGCTCCCATGGATGTAATTCGAGATTGGCCTATATGTCTAAGAAATAATGAGGCAGATATAACCCAGAAGACACCTCAGATACATGTATCAGATTTTCCAAAAACCAGTAAGGCAAAGGACAACTTAAGAAATCTGGTTAATATTACCCCAGTTATAGCTGAAATGAGCATTCAGAACCCCCTCGATAACATGAGAGCATTCATTCGTTCAGAACGATCACAGAAAGTGATAGCCTCGCGAGCGAGAAAAAACTCTGAAGGTGTTTCAAGAATCTATCTCAGACCTGTACCCTCATTTGGTTAAAGGTCAATACATTACACCAAGATTGGTGAAGGTGTCACCAAAGCCTTATGCCCATTGCTATGATCAAAATAGCTTCTGTAATTTTCACTTGGGAGT